AGGTACACAACGTGAAATCCAGGTATCTGGAGTTTCGAAATATAAAACTTTCTTTTAAGCTGCGATCCCCTCCACGCGGGGATGTTAGAGCATGCGGCCCTTAGACAAAATGTATCCTCTGCATAAAGGGCTCTGATACTTAACACTGGACCATTTGAGCAAATATGGGCAATTTAGTTCGTTTTGCGTTCAGTTTTTGACCTGATAAACCCATAACTCCGCGTCCAGAGGCGCTTGGCAGATTTGGAAGGTAGATTTGGAATCATCGATAAATGCTCTTCAAAGCAGTATGGGTCTCATCTGGAAAGGCCATTTCGACTAAACATGTTTTCCTTGTAAGTTGAAGCTAGTCCTACCATATGGCACCCAAATCCGCGAAAGCTTTTAAGGAAGTTATTGGAGATCAAACGTTCGGTACTTTTTTGGGACACCCTGTAGTATGAGGTTAAAATCACATATTGTATTTGGAAAAACGGTGACATATGAGCGGCGAAAGACGTGTTCCAGAAAAATGTCAACGATTGAACAGTGTGCACAACTTTTGGAACACCCTTGTATATCACCCAAACTCACATTTCCACCACCCAAAGTTGAAATCAAGAAAAAAAAACTCGATCTAGTAGTTGAACGAAGCCAGGCGATAAACGTACAAATCACTTCCAAAACATTACAATTTTCTGTAATCGCAGAAGCATATGGTACGAACAAAATGCGGAAAATGAGGAGAGCTTATAGGACGACGCCACTGCTCGGACCACAAGTCCTCGCGCAGAGACCACTGTAGAGTTGGAAACGATCCAAAACCTGGGATGGTCGGCGGCAGATTTGCTGGCCGTCGTTACGCAGCCTTTGAGGCTTTTCGTGGAATTGTATTATCATGTACGGTGTATGTACAGGGCTTATCAACTGTAGTGGCGGGTGCACCAGCATCTCCGCTTCGCCTGGACTCTGTTCCTCGTTCGCGGACACCCTTTGATCACTTTCTCATCGCTAGCGTTGGAAAAAGCGGAGCCCTTAATTGATTGGCATATTGGAAAGCATGTTCGCGGAAGCGACGCAGAATCTGGCGCAGGAGTGGAGATGCTGGTGCATCCGACACTGCATTTGGTAAGCCCTGTACTCACAGTTAGTGGTCCGCGGCGTCTTTGAGGGCCAGCATGAGCGAGCGGTTGCCGCGAGGAAGTGAAGGCGGTCGCTTGTAGAATTTTTTTTTAGTTATTGTATCGTTTCGGATATTGCAGAGTAGTAAACCAACTAAATGTGACTTCAGAATTTTCCCAATGAACGCAATGGACCCAATCTGGCGTACCCAGGATTTCGGCTCGGGGGGGGGGGCGACAAAAATTTTTTCCAATGAAGGTGCGTGGCACTCAGAAAATTTTTGTGGCTAAAATGGATTTTTAAAAATTTTTAAAAATTATTTTAATCATTTACAAGTGCAGATAAGTCATTTGCACAATTTTATAACTCATGTAAGTAACTTTCAAAAATTTCGCAACCCGTTCTCGGGGGGGGGGGGGCGCCTCCCCCCCCCCCTCGGTACGCCACTAGACCCAATGTTTTTAACCGTTTCGTGTGCTGGTGTACCACGCTAGGAAGTTCAAACTCCTCCTATATAGGGTTTTGCAACCCTTCAACGAGGCGTTTTTGTAAATTTATTCAGATCACGTTACGTATCCTCCCCTCCCCCCCCTCTCGCCCCTCTCCCGAAATTTCTGCCAAATCTGAGATTTCGCACCTTGCGGTCGCTTGCCAATTTTTGTAGGCCAGCTAAATGAACTGCAAAATTTTTAGAATTGGAATCAACAATTTGCAGACATGTGAGGTCAGCAGAATGTATATCGTACAGATTTCAAAGGAAACGTCTGTTTGAATTTTTGAAAGCGTTCAGTGCTCTCGCATGGTACTTATCGCAGCTGTAAATTGGTGCTCTCACCGCTTGCCCTCTGCTTTCAACGTTCGCCGGCGCTCAGACAGGGCAAAGGCAACGTCGGCGGACTGCTGCGTCCCTGCTTCGGCTACGGGTTTGGCCCCGCCTGACACCCGCCCCCGGTCCGCCCTCGCTCCGCTCTGTGACCATTCGAATCTGCAGGCGGCGAAACCACGAAATGTTCGGTTTTGACCTTGCATCTGTTTTCCGCGAGTTTTTCCTTCACATTTTCATCTTCGCATCTTTTATACGCCAGATGTTGTCATCATCAACGCTTTCTAAATTTTATCGTAATAAACTTATATATTACAGTTTTCACATCTCCGCTCTTCTTGATGGTATTGTTATTTTCTTTGGTTTTTCTAATACTTGTTATCCGTTATACTGTTATACTTGCTTCTTTCCTCTCAATTTGTTTTTGAAATGTTGAACACATCATTAATTCATGTGCAGCACTTTGTTGTTTACGGGTCATGCGCTAATTTTTTATGGACAAAACAACAAATCCGTGGGGCTCATGTTGCCTTCGGTCTCTGCTTAGATTTTGGGAGAAGAACATATCCATGCTGTAAGTTTCTAACTTACTTCTTTTCAATAATCTTTGTTGCGTACATTCCATTGTCCTCTGATTTCAAGTTCTTTCTTTCTTCTTCTTCCATCGCGGTGCTAATCCTAACAATTCCTGTTATGTTGTAAGGATGATATTTCATTCTTGCACAATCGCGTTTTTATTCTTTCGACTCTCAGTCGCACTATACAATCGTTTTTTTTGTGTGTGTCGTAGTTTGTATGTTAGTCAGCTCGTTGAAGTTGAACAGCTCTTTAGCAGATCTGGTTCTGTTGATGTTCATTGATGTGTTTTTGGTCGTAGACCCTCTTCATTTTGTTCAGAACAAAACCGTATAAAAATAGATCAAGTGGTTTTCAATTTACAGTCGAGTAGGTTTTCTCGCTAATATGTGCCATTTTACACATTTTCCACCAGAATATCGGCACAGGGTCTAACGTTTTTTTCTCGTTTTTCTTAGTTTCCTCTGTTCAGGCATACTTTGAAGAAACCTTTGTTAGATATTATCTTGCACTCTTTTCTGGGAAATCTTTCCGCTGCAAACATCCTGGAACATAGCAATTGCACACATTAGCAAAAAAACTTTTTCGCCATATCCACTTTTGTCAAAAGTGTGAAATCTGAAGTGCTACTTTCATTGTCACACTTATACTCTGCAGCGATTGCACTTTCACAGACATTGTACGCCTATAAATATGAACTACAAAGGAAAACCCGGATGTAGTACAGCGAATTCGGGTTGTTTTTTTCGCGCGAAATTTGCGGTAGTGCGCAAAAAAAATCGTTTTGCGCCCGTTTGCCTGCTGAAATGGCTGGAGAAGAAGTAATGTCGCGTTGTAACGTTCTTCCTCGAATCGGTCAGATGCTGTTGTTGGGTAATTAGGCTTACCTAGCCTATTTCGCAATGAACATCTTTCTCTGTCTGTCGCCTCCGCTACTGATATCATCGGAATGCGCAATGATGGCGCTTATCCGACCGTCGGATCAGTTTTGGAGGTTTACAACTCGTCGGTCGATGTCGGACAGTTTTACTTCGCGCCGAATCGATATCGACTTCTAGCTCGATCAATACGCTATCGGTTGTCTTCCTGCTTTGAAAGGCAGATTGATGTACTGCCTTGTTTGGGGAGGCGTGCTGGGTGATTCATCTTCTCAGGTGAAATCCCTCATATTCCATTTATGCTTGTGGAATTCATCTTCCTTTGTTAATTGCCCCTACTCAACCCAGAGGAGCCGGTTATCAAAGCAGTAATTCACCTTGTCTCTATTATCATCTAAGCTATCCTTAATTTCTTCTATTATTTTTATTCTTATCTGCAGTAAAATCTTCTATTTTTGTATGAGTCAAGAGAAATTCGGATGTTCTTTGTTGCAGCTATTGCTTTGCTATTTTTATGAGGTCGAATATTAAATCATCTTCTCAGTTACTGCATTCATTTTGCATCTAAAAAATGTGGTCATTACGACGAAAATGAGAACAACGAAAAATCCAAGCAAATAACAGCTCCAGTGGTTCTGTCCAGTGATTTTTTGAATATCATTCCAAGGAGAAATAACTTCGATTCTAGTTCTAGAGGTATTTGTTTTTCAGGGACACATGTATATCTATATCTATAATTTCTGTAGCTATATATATAGAATTCTACCTCTATTCGCTCTAGATGTAGAGGAGCGACCTGCGTCCTTATTTCTTTTTCTTTCAGGCAGATCTCTCGACTACTCCTCTTGACATGAGTCTTGGGCGCTCGCTGCTTTTTGTTGTTTTATCATCGCGTAATCGGGTCAATCTTCCACTTGTCTCTTTCTTCTACAACCTCTTCAGTCTTGTTGCGGAAGAGCATAGACTAATGCAGAAAAAATTTGCAACTCTGACTGTTTTTGTACCATGGTTCCGAACTGAATTTTAGCACCTGTATCATGTTCAAGTAGTGTTTATTTTGATGTGAAGTGCTAACTTGTTACATCTAGAAGCATCACAATTTTTTGGGACTTTCACGTACTACCAAACTTTGCTTAGGGCAAGTGATTGATTACATCTGTTGCCTTTCCTCAAGGTTACAATTCCAATATTTACCTTAATACTTTTTCACCTTTACTGAATTGTCCAGCTTGTGAGTCATATACAGGCAACTCATGCATTTTCTATGACATCTTTTTGTCACACTGAATGATCTGCGAGTTTCTACTTTTACGTTATTTAGTTCTCTAGAAAACGCGGTCGCATTTTTCAGATAATTCCAACATAGTATTTTAGTTTCTTCGACGAATTTGGTGTTAGTTGAATTCTGGCTTCGCCCGTGCTTGCAAGTAACGTGCTCTCTTGCAGTTTACTTGTAGCTCTTTACACTTTAGATCAGATAATTATGCGTTTCGGCGATAATTACTCAGTTCTTCATAATCCAAGCATGTGATTGCTGTCTTTCTTCAATTGCTGAATGGCAATTCCTATCTTTCGTCAATTGTTATACGACAAATCATACCAGTATCAAATTATTGAGCTTTTCTAGGATCGTATTTTCAAGAGGCGCTCGAGTATGTCTAGGAGATGAGTAATCGCAACTGGCGACATGTATTATCGAGCCGAATTATGCGTGTTGCCACGCTCGAAGCGATGGCAAACACCTTGGAGCAAATCGCCTCCGATTAGCTGTTATATTCTATTTTTATCTATATTTATTCCTTCAAACTATGGCTACCATACTGATGAATGGATAGTCTTTAAGAATAAGCATATTGACGAAGGCATGGCATTCGAGAAAATGGTGGGTTGCCATTTTGATTGGACTTTCAATGTTGCGTTATTTATGGATTCTGAGATTTTCGTGTTGTTTTATCCATTGCATCGTCAGCTAGTGCGAGTTACGTTCGATGTGTAATATTTGGTGGCGCAAGCGCTTAACCGGGTCATCCAAAATGCACACATTGTCCTGACTAGCGAGATCCAAAATTGCGGTAAACTGGTCTCCTTATTATGAAAACCTGGGTTCACATCTCGGTTCTTTATATGCGCTAGATTACATTCTATTGTTTCGTAAATTTTTGGGAAAGGATTCTATTTCTGTTTATCGTTCATCTTGTTTTTTGGTTAAAAAAATCACCATAGTAAAGAAAAATCAGAGAGGACCCTTAAGTGTCTTCAAGATTTGCGAATTTGTCGGTGTACCTGCATATGTTCCTAGTCAACCTTTTACATGATTTCCAAAGGGCAAGACTTCTATGTAAACTTGCTACTCGGATTCCTTTTTGAGGCTAAATTGAATGAACGATGCACTGAGAGTGGTGAAGACAAAATCTCACTGAGGCAGCTGCAAAGTTTTTTGTGTATCGCTATCTATTGTGCTCTTGCAGGAGCTTTCTTTCTGTGTATCTGGCCTTTTTAGATTGATTTGATGTATGCCATTGGGAATGCAATGATATTTGTGCCGTTCAGGTTGTCGACCCATCAAATACACGAATATATGTGGCCGGCGTTAATTATCTGTACGATTTGCATTCGTCAGATCTTTCCGTCAGGGTAGAGGCCGTGACTGGACCAATGGACGATTCTGATCAGTGTAAAGGGGGTAAGATATTCTGATTCGATTTTTTGTTCTGATAAGATGATTTTTGTTTTTATACGACGAATGTTTGGATGGATTCTTTGTGCTGGTATAAGCTGTGTTTCTTTAGTAGGATGTTAGTCGTGGCTGATTATGGGTTTAATCTAACTTTATCCACTGAGGGGTGGTTTTTGTGTAACGCACAAAAACCCGCTATTCTCCTCCTACTCTTTGAATTCTCGATTAGAAATCGCAAATGGATTGTAGTTGGCTACTTCTTTGGCCGTACGCAATCGCACTTCGCAAACAACAGGCTTTTGCTCGATCACAGTGCAGCGTTAGAGTTCGTGAAAAAGATGACGCGACAGTTTGTGAGAGTACCGTGAAGTTAAGGTTGTTGGTTTTTAAGGTTGGAGCGTTCTTTCACAATTTTTCATAATACATGGACTGACGCTCACAGAATTTTCCTTTCATGTTTCGCAAAATGATAAGCAGTTTGGCTTTCCATTCTTCTTTTTTTTTTATTACTGCTCTTTTCAGCTTCCTTTACCACTCAAAAGCACTACTGTTTCTTGTTTCCCATATCTGCCTTTTGAAATTCGCTCAAAAATCCTTATCAACCATCACCATCAATCAACCTACTGCTTCTAACAAACAGCAACCAGAGCTTTCCGAGACACGCGCACTGTATCCTTGAGCGTGATTGGTTACGTTAGGCCTCCTGCTGTGTGTGAGAAGACTATTCACACCCTTTCTTCGTCATCCATATCGACCAAAGCCACCGCAACCTTTCTGGATTAGCATTTTATGTGAATAGGGCGCATTCGTCATGAAGAGCGCGGCTTCAATTTGGATTTATTTGACTTTGAGCTTCTATCAGTTAATTCAAGGCTGAGTAGTGGATAATCTTGCGAGGAACTGTCCAGTTTGAGGGGAAAACGCTATGCGATTTATCTGTTTACTAGTTTGAAGCAGCGGCTGTAACGGGCGCTGCGTTTAATGTCTCCTCTTTATCTTCTGTTTTTGGAACAGTAAAATAATGTAATTAATTTGCCAAATATGATTTACTACGCTCCTTGAATTTCAAGACTGATTTGCTTTGGGTACAAATTCCCTAGTTCTCCGTTTCCAGTTCACTTTGCGTTTGAGTGGAGCAGTGACTTTCTTTTCCACTGTTGTGAATCAACCAGGCGCGGCGACCGCATTGCAGATACTTGCAGACACTCCAGTTGTAGAAAGTTGTGCGGTGATTAGGTCAAGCGGCAGCCTCTTACGCGAGTGTTTATATACGCGGGCGGTGTGATGAATGAGGTTAATTCGCTGACGAGGAGCGAACGGAGGAGGAATTGAGGTGAGATTTTCGCGTGGATGGCGTGGCACATATGGCCATTCATGGGCATCGAGTATGCGAATTCGCTAAAGAATGCGCCTCGTGAGTGCAAGGGGTTTGCATATTTAGCGGACCAAAAGAGCCTCTAATTATCCCTCAACGCTCCCAGCCAAAACTCATCGCGCAGCATCGTAAAACAATGGGACACACTCAGTCTGTGGACTCTTTTGTTGATGAGCAATCAGGTACACCTTGACCCTATGCGAATAATTTGTGAGAGAATGAACATAGTGTTTTGGTTTGTTAATTAGCTAGCATGGTACCTTTCGTACAGCGAATGAAGAGATGCAGACCCAAAGACAGTGTTCGGTCAGATGTGGCCTCATTCCCAAAGGATTACTGTATTAGGCCAATTCAAGTCGTAGCCCGATTGCGACTGGGAAATGCCTCTTCTGAAGTAAAAGATTTACTTTAGAACTCCCGACATAGCCTCATCCTTACTGAAGCAGGGGAGCGTGGACGCTGCAGCCAGTGACCTTCTGGAACTATTTTCTTGCTTCAGAAGCGGTGTTTTGCAGCTGCACTAACACTACTTATAGCGGGATGTAGATTTTGGATCAATGATTTGCTCAAAAGGAGACTTCTCTTTAGAATCCGTTATAGAGAATAGGAGGTTATAAGTTACATCAGCTAATCAATTAGTAAACTGTTGTATGAGGAAGCAGCGTATGAATTGCGCGTACATCGTGCTGTCAATGCTGGTTACATCGCAGCAGCCTTTGTGTGTCGTCGCAAGACCTGGAAAGTGTATGGAACAGTTGATGGTCTTGTTAGCACGAGGGCACCGTTGTAGTTGTGTAATAATGGTCACTGGGAGATAAGGGACGCATCCGGACAGCTGCTTCGAGAAGTGCAAAGTGCTGGACACTGCTTCTTCCCTGACACGAAAATGAGAAACTGAATATGGAAGTGTAGTAATTGCGCCTGGATGGCTTGCAATGGTCAATTTTTTTCTAGACGAAGTGTTGCTAAAAGAGAGCGAGCTGTTGTTGAATCATTGGCGATACATGTTGCTTTATGTAATATTGAACAAATTTTTGATTTTTACACTTATTTTTATTTAATAGAGTCGTATCGAAGTTCTTTCTATTTGAAATTCGCATTTGGGCAGGTCTTCTCGCGAATTGTCCGTTCACTGGATGCTGCGTACTTTCCTCCGTCAATCTGTTTTGCAGCGATTAATAGCAGCTGTTTGATCCGGATCATCCATCTCTACAGAGAATGTGTGGACTCCATTAGAATAGTTTGTTTATCTGCCAGATGCTGAGGTCATAAGCGCAAAATTCGACCAGTGACTTGAAGTGGATATGTCCCAGATGCAGCAGAATTGATTTAATTAGATTTTTTTCAACTGTTGATAGAATTAGCCGATTTGTATGTGACTCGGATCGTAGCTGTGCTCAAGCAATTTCCATGACTGACTCGCTAGAGCTTTATTCAAAAATCTAGTTATAGCTTTATTAAATTGTAACTTAAGTTTTGTTACACTTATACGAAAAACTCTAAATCATTCTCGAAGATTTCCACTCGGTTTAGGCCGTATGTGTGGAGGATCGTAGCTCATTGGTATTTGCTTGTCACACATAAAATCAAATTCTTCATGAATTTTGTTTTACTTTTGGCAAATTTCTTGCGTTGGTGAAGAGTCTAAACTTGAACTCCATAAAATTTCAAAACTATAAGATGATAATAGCGGTGGAGGTTCTGGTGACGATTTACTGTAATTATTTATAGTAAATGGCCCGAGGATCACCAAAAATCTTTCCCTCTTCAGTTCTCTCCACTATACATATTCAAATCGTTCCTCCATCTATTAGGTTGGAAACTAAGTTTTGCAACTGGTCCCATAACTTCCCTCTCACTCAACATGGCGCACTCAAATTTTGCCACTGCATTGGTTTTCACGTACGCTACAAGCACAGCTGCTGTCCTACCAAATTCTGACGTCGCAGTGAGGGTTACGGTAGGTGCATGGTATAAAGGGGAAAAATTCAAAGTTTGACGGATTTGGCTGAAACTTGGCATAGGGGTGTTATCCGACAAGATGATGACGAAAACGATAGTGAAATTGCGTGATTAGGCTTTTTTATAGGATTACTGTAGGTGTACGATATGGCGTCTCACCCAAAACAAGGAAAAAGGCGTTGATTCAACAAATGAATGTGATATTCGCGTTTGGCAGATCAAATAACCTTACTATGTAAAGTCTCGGCGGAATTTGAGCTTTGGACTCTTTAGTCATTGACGGTCGTCCCCAGCAGCTCTTGCGAACATCGACTCGTTCGACTTTATGAGGGCGCCAAATCTCGACATGCCCCTAAATTTTGTATCTTTCTTACTAGGCCAAAGGAGTTAATCACTAGCAATAATTTTTAGAAGAATCCGGATCACTGCGCATGGTCTAGGCTGCCAAAGGCTTCACTTTAGCTTGAAACCCCAAAAATTCTCAAATTTCACTAGTTTTCGATAAACGCTTGAAACTTTTCTATTTCGTGTTCAAAATTTAGACAACTTGTGCTCTCTTGTAGCTCACATTGCTTTCTACATAATGCCAAAGTTTGAATGCGCCATATCCAAAGAGAGTGAAGTTATGAAACCAGTTGCAAAACTTAGTTTCCAGCGTAATACTATGGCTTATTGACAAGCAAACATGGGACTAAAAATTTCCGCAAATCGAAATCACGCTCATATTGTGTATCATCTTGAATCTGTGCTTTAACTGCCGCACGTTATCCTTCAGTATAGTGACTGGTCACTATTATGGACTAGATCGTCACGTATCGATGTCAGCCGATATCTTTTGTGAATTGTTGTACGCGGCCAGTATCGCACGCTCGATTAGCGTTGATGGTAGCGAGTGTGTGTGCCGACAGAGGTTCTCAAGTGGTAGATTAGAGAACGAAGCGAAGTGGGGGATTTGTTTGAGATTACTCGAATCGCCGAGACCCCACCGAGCACTTGTACGGAAAACTAGAGGTGGCGGGGTCAGTGTTTTCGTGCAAAGTGCGCGGCGGCAGCGTAGAGTACAAGAAAACGTGCTGCACGGGTCATCGGACAATGACAAAGTCGATGAGCTGTCTAGCCCCCGATATGACAGCCTTTGATTGTTATGAGTGATGCGAAGAGTAGTAGCAATGGATGCCATCCGATTTGGCTGAGGTAGATTACTGGATGTTTTTTGGCACAAGTTATGTACAGTCAAGTCATTTCGAATGATCGCATGTCTCGCACACGTAGTGCACAGTTCGCAGTCCCTTTCTTTGATTTCCAGGAGTATTTATCAACATATCGTCTGACCGCATAGACTGCTCAAACGCTGCGGAACAAGCGCAGCGCGACTGAAATGATGCAAGAGCAGGACTTGTGCAATGGCCAGTTTGTATTGGCCGAAGTTTTACCTCGCGGCAGGTGCTCCACAGAAGTCCAGTTATTGCGGTCAGCGAATCGACCATACCCTGAGGCGGTTACCTTTGCTCACACAGTATGCCCAGTCCATTGCTTATATCCCAAGATGTGTGGGATTACCTTGAGCCATCACTTGCATTCACGAACATACCTGAAGGTAGAATCCACTTTGAGGCAATGCAAATGCGGTGGGTCAGGTACAAACTCAAGATTAGTTCAACTTTAGCGTGGAAGATATAATTTGCCTTGAACTTTTGTCTTGAGCCAGTGCATTTCGGTTGCCTCTTCATGGGTTTTACATTGAGGTATGTTCATGTGTGGTTAAATGGCTCAAGGTGTTTTATCTTTGATTCAACGGGGTTGGGGGCTGGAAGGCGACCGCTCGCACCTGCAACGCAGTCTGCGTCTCCCTCTGCGAGCGTGCTTGATCGTTCTCTAGCATCGATTAGGCCACAAGCCCCACCTTTTAGCCGCCAGTTCCGTTGAATCAAAGGATATATACCTTGAGATAAAAGCTATTGATTGAGAATAACTTCTGACTACGAATATACACTCTCAGTCTATTTTATCTCAAGTGTTGATGAATACGGCCACTGGTTCCAAAGACACAAGTGACCGGACCGGATTGTTACCGCTTTCATTTTGGGGAGAAATATGTCTAAAAAGGAAAGAAAACAAGAAGAAAGTTTTGAAAGCACTCATCTGGAGCGGTGACTGTTTTAGATTTCCAGAATGAAGACGTCAAGGATAGACATTGTATGCGTGACACATATGATCGCATGAGATGACTAGACTGCATAGAGGAGTTAACTCGAAGGAAGTAAAAATTAAACGGGGGGGGGGAGTGCAATTTTGAATACGGCATCTTACCTTTTTGTGCATCGTTTGTGTGCTGGATCTCTGTACCCGAGTTCAGAAGAAGTGTCACCCCTCAAGTAAGCACAAGCGATGGCACGCATTGTTGACGTATGAAGATCGTTCTTCAAATATCAACCTCGGAAGCCGAAAGGGTATGAAAGTATAATAGCAGCGCTTTGAAAATAAATTGCGAATGCGCTACACATTGCTTTTCTTCAATCCCTGGACTTCACAGACGGTATCTAGCAACCGCCTAATTTGATGATCGGGCGCTGTTACCCTCGTAAGTGAGCATCACTAGGGTGGTGGCGCCTAAACTATGTCTTGTCAAAGCGTTATGTACATCGCCTTTTCTGGCAACACACCTTTTCAATCTTTCGAGATCGTGAGGTGCTGCTCGATCAGGCTATTTGGATTGAACTTGCATCGCCCTATCTGGAATCCTCCATGCGACAAAACAGTGCACAATTTTAGCTCGTTGCGGGAAGCTAATCCGAAGTCCACGTAAATGAAAATTGCAATGCATTGTTCATTATTTCATTGAAGAATTTATGTTTTCGTTGCTCTCTTGTTGTTGGATCAGCTATTACCCATCTTGCAGGTCGCAACGACAGCTGCACTGCAATTCGGCATAAAACCAACTCTCATGCTAAGGCGTTAGCAGTGTACGACAAGTCATCACAGTTGATAGAGTGTACTAGTCTCTTTCAAGTGAGTTTGTCATCTGTACCTAGTTATCTTGCATGCACTGTATTTTATATTTGCAGGGTCGATGCCGGCTGCGAAATCTCCATAACATCAGTAATGTACAGATCGAATCACCTGAACCTATGATAGCGAACGATGCCACTTCTTCAGCAGTGGTGTTTGTCGGGATGGGACCATCGAAAGATCCAGTGTTGTACGTTGGCACTACTTTCGTAAGAGGGCCGGTAAGTGGCTATATTGTGTAAGTATATTGACTCTCAGTTGCTCTGATCCAGCTTTTTCGTGACGATATCCCTGCCGTCACGTCATTACGATTATCGCGTGGGGATGGCGAAGCGAAAGAGTTTGAGCTAGCTGACAAAGGACTTGCAACGGGGACCGAGATCAGCCTGGAAAGAAAGTTCAGAAGTAGCTACAGGTGCGCATATTCTCTTTCTTGCTTCTGTGAACAGAAAATATTTTTTTAACCTGGCTTGTGTCTGTTATTCTTTGCTATTCATTCGTAAATCTATCAGTGTAGAGCACTGGAGGCGATGTTTACCAATATTTGATTGGTCGCTGGTTGGCAGGCGCTCGTTTGTAACGGTAAAACAGCGCCCGGTTAGAAATGGGCATCTTATAATAAACCCCTGCAGGGTTATATAAATTTTTTTTCGCATTCATTAGACAAACGTTTCGTTCATCAATGGAAACCTATCTGTTTCATTTATGTTTTTTCAGAATCGACTACATAGGTGGATTTGAGTCTGGACGATATGCATACTTTGCTACCAGGCAGGGAGCCACAATAGGAGAAGATGCACCAATACAATCTAGGCTCGTTCGAGTCTGCACAGGAGACGCGCATTTTTACAGCTATACTGAGGTGCAACTAAATTTCATTGGTTGGTGTGTTTCATGAAATTCGTACCTAGGTCCCACTCGAATGCACCAAAGACGACATCAATTACAATTTAATTCAAGATGTTTATGTTGCAACGGCTGGTTACAATCTTGCAAAGTCGTTCGGAATCAGGTCAATTCCACTTAAATTAAATTTTTCTCAAATTTTCTATTTGAATAGCAAAATTGCTTGTTTTTATGGTTTTCAGCGAGGGCGATGAAGTCCTTTACGCAGTTTTTGTGGCAGATGACACCGCCGCTTTTCAAAGAAATGTGAGGCCATCAGCTATCTGCATTTCATGCTCTCCGTATTTTCGGGTTATCACATATTCAAATTCCTTTCAGTTTCCCACCCGTCGCTCAGCGGTATGTGTTTATCCCATACAAAAACATGTAGAGAAGAAGTTCGAGGAGAACATCATGGAGTGTTATCGGGGAAAAAATCTCAAGGTAGCCATGCTTCTGGCAAGTAGCTCATTACTTAATAATTTTTTTTAGCAACTGCCTTGGTTCAAGTCGTCTGATGAATGCAAAGGAACTCACCTGTCTTGGAAAGATGTGGAATGTGGTCAGGATGTCAACAAAAACATCGGTAAATTATTATATTCTATTAAGCTTTTTATCACATCTTTTCTCATTCATTCTTTTTCGAGTAAACAAAATTGATAATGTTGCCATTTATAATCTTCGAAAATGGGCTATATATTTTTTTAATCTCTTCAGCTGCTCTTTCAATCAACTTAGTCTCCCACTAACTTATCGCTGGTCTTATGCAAGCCGTTACTCAGAGCTTCGTTTGCAAAAATATCATCTTCTGTACAATTCTTGTCAAGTGTATGTTATCGGTACTAGTAGAAGCGAACCAGTCGTACATTCCTCCTAGCAGTCATACAATTTGTCCTCCTACGTTTACATAGCTCTAGTGTCAAAATTGATATCGCTTTGGGATTAGGAACACTCGTGAGATTTATTTGCTTTGCGTTCTTTTTGCTTCCTATCTAGGATTCTCTGGAAATAGCTTACTATTTTTGCCTTTGTCACATTCTGAACGCTGGCGATTAACTTCTTTGTGAGTCTATAATACCTTGTGCATATGTTTCAGATTTTCGACTGCATGCTCTATTGCAATTTTATCTTTTAATGTTTGAATTTTTTCAAGGAGGAGGTAAACCAATCTCGTCTGAACCTTTGCTGACAGTCGACGATGCCCGATTCACTGCCATCGCCATCAACACAACGCGCGGAGCTACGGTAGCATTTATCGGCACCGATGATGGACGGATACTTAAGGTGCCTATTTTTTCCTCCTGGGTTTTTGAACACCACTGACGAAAACTTTTGGAATCGAAGTACTAGCTAGAGCGGTGGTCAATTCCCATGACAGATGGCTAACAAGGGAATGATGTTAGCATTCGGGTTCAGTTGTTTTTGTGGCCGAAAAACCTTGTAGAGCCTTGGCCAAATCTTATGTGTGTCGGACGTAATTTTCCGAATCTGCTTTGCGCGCACACCCTAATAATGGACTGCTATAGCGGCAACCATCATGGTATTTAAAACTTTTGCTGCTTCTCATATATAGGGCAAAAGAAAGGGATGTCAAAGTGATATTTTTTGTCAGCATATTTTAGTAACTGCTAATTTTGTCGAACTTCACGTACATATTAGCGATTAGGAGAATATACTCAGATTACGTAAAGTTGCTGCCTCCTGTTTGACGCCATAAATATAATATGTTTAGGTCCGTGAGCAGGTTTCGTACTGGTCTAGCGTTTGAAAGTTCTTAGCGTCTTCTCCACAGTAGCGATTAAGCACAGTTTGCAGTTTTTCTTGTATCGTACTAGAGCCGTAAGCTTGATTGCCCATACTATCGCGTATAATCAACGTAATACTGGCTAGCAAAGATGAACAGTTTCTTGAGATTGAGTGTGTAAATTGTATTTTCAACTAAGAAAAGGAATTTATCTTTTTGATCCTACTCACGGACTCAAGGGAAGCTTTAGAGCGTTCTTGTTGGTTTGTTGAAAAGTATATGGCATTGGAGTCCACATTTATCATGACCTTGCATGGAACAATCAAAATCATAAGCATGTTTCAGTAGAGAAAAGTGCTGCATAGGAGCTTTCGCTTCTCAAAATTGCCTCTGGCTTTGCCACAAGCAGTCGGTCTCCTCACGAAATTTTTTTAAGATGCAAATTTGTCCCGGGTTCTCATCAGGTCTCTTTTTAGAAAGTGGTATAAGTTTGAAAGAGTCATCTGCTACCATATAGAAAAACCACCAGGGTCAAGATTGGGCAAGTTGTTCGCAAACACCATACTATCAGAACATTGTTCTCTGGGTTGGTTTTGCCGAAAAGTTCAGGCAATGCTTTTCTCGAAAATTCGCCTCGGTTTTTTGATTTTGAAAATTGACCCTTCACGGGTTTGCTTAGCGAGCGTTTGACAACTACGTTCTTCAAGCTGGACCAACTCTACCTATGAACCGAGTTGATGATCGATAGTGGGACTGAAGAATGAGGATAAGACGACTATCACTGAAACATAGGAAAGAACGAGCAAAAACCGGTCAAAACTCTTTTCCCTGCCCTTCACACTCCACTTGTAAACCACTTTGTGTATGATATGCCCACTGTTGCAGACACATCTTGCTTATAATGCAATTAGCGCGCTGATTGCTGCCAAATGCTGCCATATGGCATGTAGGAGTTCACTCCGGCAGCTAATCACATTTGTATCTGGGTATGTGGTGGGGCAGTGGCAAGGAAGCGGCCAATTGATGCCGAGGCACTGAAAATCTATTTAGGCGTGCCTAGCCTAGTCCATGGCTTGGCTTGGTGGACACACTAGATGTGACGAACTTTGTGTGATGGTGCTGGGGAGCGTAGATTCGATAATCGCGGCCGCTCTCGTAATGACAACAATTGCGATTTGCGAGTGTTCGAGACAGATGAGGGGCTTTCTTTCTGACAACGAGATATTTAATTTTATGCGAAAGAACTGTAGTCAGTTTTCGAGTAGTATTTTCAAGTTAACATAAAAGTCCTACAGCTTACATTGATAAAAAAGATCAATCTCTCGCCGAAAGTTTTGCCTTTAGTGGAACATCGTACTTGTTTTTGAGACCTCTGTCCCAACATTATAACGTAGGCCAAGCGCATACTTCAAAGGATGAAGAATCTCGAGCTTAAATAAATGTCTATCAGGTCATTCTGTCACTTTTATCATTTTTCACGAAGTTTGAGTCGCCAAATATGAAATAAAAGTGTTAAAAAATCTAGGATGCGTTCCATGCAGCATTGCTTTATTTTTTTAAGACCGACTTTGGGAACAGAATCTTTGAGGAGCGTACAAGTATGCAGGAACTTGCAGTATCCTTGTTATCTGTTTGAATTCGCCAAACCTTTTATCGTACGTATAAAGCCAGCAATACATCGTCACGAGTTTAATCTTTGCACGGGAGTTTTTCTTTATTTATGACGAGCGCATCTTATACTTGTCATGATTGAATTTCGTTGAGATGAAGATTATCTTTGGATAAACTTAGCGCAGAGGTTTTTTTGCGTTTAGAAATAACCTTTTTGTAGATGTTTTCATACGTAGATGGCTCTCTGTGGATTCTTTTAGAAAAAGACTTGGAGAGGCCTTGATCTCAGAGGGCAGAAATCTAAAATCTGCACCGTCGTCAATGTGCTCATAAGGATTTCTGTGCGCATATCCTGATTTCTTGATTTTTTTGCGAAAAACGAGTTTTTCGTTACAGACTTGCGAATTGTGATATTTTTGCAGTCAATTATAGGCTGCAAAAATACCAAAATACCTTCTCCGAAAACCATGTACACTTTTATGCTCTTGTTCTGCTGCATCGTGACCCTGTTTCAGTGACTTCGAAAAAGATGTCTGAGTGGTCAAGTTCAATGACATTTTTTTAGAAGGCAACGTTCAATGACATTTTTTTAGAAGGCAACATTCAAGTCCCACGTAAATACATATGCAAAAAGAAACTCCTCCTTTTACAAGCATTTCAATAGTAAAGTTTTTTATTCTGGAGGTTAGGAATCCGAGAAAAAACGCAAAGCTTTTGGAATGACCTAATGATGTTTGAGATGCAGGCTCGCCAATAAATTAGTAACACGCTGTAAGTTTAGGACGATGGATCATGATTTCCAACTTTGGCTTTTTGTTGTACTCTTTTGAGTATCAAAAGTAACTACTCGTAGGTAAATGGGATTTACATTCGGGGTGGAGTTAGGGTTTCAGGATATTACGCCAGTGGGTGTTAATCATGTTATGCGTTTACGATCGTTCCTGTAATATATAATAGTTGAATAATGCAAAGGAGGATAGGCTCTGCTTTTTTATATGTTAGATTGCAAATTATGACGGAATAATGACGCATTGTCAACCTCCAGGCGCTGCTATGATCATCATGTTTTTTTTTGTCTCAGTATGCATACATCATTGTCATTTAGACTATCCTTCACGACTCGACTACAGCTGAAGTATACGCTACTGAAGAGGTATCGTCGAGCCATGAACCGATTCTTGCTGATCTCGACTTTAGTGAAAACGGCCAGTATGCCTATGTACTCACCCCCAGCAAGGTAAGCTATCATAATTTTCAACCAAAAAAATTTTTTTTCAAGACCACATCCGCTGTTTAATCTTTATACCTCTTTTTTCGCTGCAACTAAAGCTTTTGCAGCCTATCATTTGTGCTTATCCGTACGTATGTTCTACTGATTGTGAGAATAAGGGGGGAAGGAGGGAATCTACAATTAGGGATATGAAATGCTGACGCGGCGGCGAAAGTAGGTTATTAGACTTGCAAAAACTTCTCATGACCTGATATGCGTATACTCGCAAAGATAGTTGTCCCTAATCCAATTAGCGAACAGGACACGACTGATGTAGTTGTCGACACTTCTCTGGTCACCTAATGCAGGTAGTTATTTTTTCATGGGAGATGACCGTTTTGCACTACAATATCCAACAGTCACCCTGCTTGACTTTTTATGCACTGTTCCACTTTGCTTAGGCAAAAGCCGCCGCAAGGAGTTTCGCGCGAGACTGCGGTCCGGAATGGAGTGCCTGAAGCATTACGAATCAGCAGACTCCCAATGTACATATTTATATCGGAATGGGCACGAATTGATGACCTTAAAGTTGACAGCTATGACATGGGAGAAGTGATGCGGTTATGAAGTACAGGCTTTCCGCGCAGGTAGCCCTCCCGCAGCGTATCTGCAAGATTACATACGAAACGCATTTTTTCGATGCTATGACATCATACCAAAGAAAATTACTAAATCTGGAGAAGAATTGCAGCAAAGAAATAACAAAGGAGTCTCGCACAAAGCAGCTATGCTTCTTTCCAATCCGGCGTTTCGAAAAATTGTGCGGGTGCACGAGATGATATGTAAATTACTGCCTGCACTTCCCAAATATGTATCGGTGGAAAATACGCTCACCAACGATGTCAATATGCTCAAACATCGGCTAATGGATGCACCTGGGGACGATTCGATTTTCGTTTTGGTGTAGTCTTATCCATGACTTTGCATTTTCCATAATCAACTTGTCGAAGACGAGCTAATGGAAGCAATATGAGCTTGAGCGCTTTTTCTGGCTTGGACCTAACAAGGGAAGTCATGACTTAGATTCGCTTTTGAGATGAGGCACATATATTTGGAATCACCTTCGAACACTAATTCCAAACACTACTTCCTTGCTGTGACATATCATTCTGAAGTGACTTGTTGGTTTTTTATGCAAAATTTGCATGCTCTGTGACCTATTGGCATTGCGTGGTCGTCATACAAGTGCTAACTTACTGCGTTAAGTTTCTTGTCAATGACAGAAGACAAATCTGATTATGTCTCATTACCTTAGCACATATTTGGGCAGATTTCCGCTTACAGGCAGAAATCCCATATTGCCCAGTTTGCCAGTTCCACGCACAAATAATGTTGCAGCTAGGAACCGATCTGGAATCAGCGTCTGGAGATGCTTTGAACCATATATGTTTCTACATGAAAGGCCAATCTAAGTTACCTGATTTTTCTTGTAAGATTCTGATTACTTCAGATCATTATTTCGCGCAATGCGTTTTTGATGTTTCCTCGTGTAGTCTTGAAGCAGCGGTAAATGTGCAGTCATAAATACATAAATAAGTATAGAACAATTAGGGATTTGTTATTTTTGAAGGGCAATTTTGTAGCTAAGTCTGTAAGGGTAAACAAACGAATTGCACTACATCAAGCGTGAGTTTCTGGCATTTGACGAAAATCCAGTCGTCAGAGGTGTGTACTGTAATCTTTTCCGGCTGACATCTGATGTGTTTGTCTGTGCATTCAGCAACCGTCAGACAGCCGAATGTTGAGTGCGTGTTTGCCCAATTGCCTTCTCTGAGTGCAGAGAAGGGAGCGACGTTTTGCAAACTATGGCTCCACTATGGGAGATTTCTGTTTAGAAGCGCTCTGCATTGATCTGCACAGATACGAGCAGTCTTTGTTAGCTGCCGGAATATCTTTAATTATTTTCAACAGCACAGTCCACCACTCATCACAGTAGTGTTTGTGCACCATTGAAGAACTTGCCGACCCAGTGACTGTTCAAGTAGTTAAGAAGCTGCTGCCGTAGTGCCTTTGTGGTCGCAAGAAGCGACGAGGGATGTGAATTGTTAATTTGCCACTTTATGTGCGTTTAGATTTAACCTCTCTTGAATCGAAATGCTTCCCACTCAAACGAGCGATAAGTGCTTGTAAAAGCTGTTGTTCTGAATGAACGATGTCGCTAGCGCTAGATCCCCCGGATATGTGAGAACGGCACGCAAGGCGTGCTTGTACATCTGGCGCATATTGGCCAAGACTGCAATACACCGTTACTCTTCGATAAATCTTCTACTACTTTTGCGATCGGACGCTGCAGAGAACTTTTTGCTCGCAAAACTATTTTTCCACCCACTGTGCAAAGTTAAAGTCTTCCTGAGTTGCTTGCCTGGTTTCAATAAGCTTTTTTCAATCTCTTAACTCAATTTTAGATGTTGCTTCCTTTCCGCTTACAATGATCAGGTAATCAAGTTTAGTAAGTAGACCATTTTCCTTATACACGCACGTTATACTTGATAAATAATATCAAACAAAATATTAGCAGAATTGAGCAAATATCCTTTGATTCAACCGAATCGACTGGAAGGCGACCGCTCGCACTCGCGACACAGTCTGCGTCTCTCTCGCTTCCGTGCCCTTTGATCATTCCCTAACTTTCGAAGCCCCGCCTTCCAGCCGCCAATCCTGTTGAATCAAAGAATACACGTACTGCCTAAATTACAACTTGAACCTCGGCATCTGTTTCTAAGTTTTTCTTTCAAGAACACTAATTGAGAGGGCGGTTCTCAATGTTGTCGTGCCCTCAGTCATATTCCCAGAGCTTTTTCTTCAAAGCTCATAATTATGGGACAAAGTATGAGACTTCTTTGAACAAGTGCCAACCTTCAAAATCTTATTTATGACCAATATCTTTCTTGAGGAATTGGACAGGTATTATCTAACAATTTTTCATTCATGTGAAACACGTGACTGTCTTGGTGGGAATTATGCTGAAAATTCTAATGCATGCTTTGTGATGTAAATCTGTTGAGTGATTCATAGTCTAAATTGCCAAGGCAGATCAAAAGTTGACGTATTTTTCATCCAAGGCTCGGCACAAGGTGGCTTTCTGAAAATGCAAAAAGCGAGGTTTCCCTGACTTTCGCAAAATTTTACGGATCCCCTTTTAACCTTATCCGAAATATCCGAAGAGAAACGTCTACTGAAAAAACCTAATTTCGTACCCACAAAAACGATACCCCCTTTGCTGTTTGTCCCAAAAACGATATCGAGCTTCCTTATAAGCCACCTGTGCCGAGTCCTGTTCTCATCACCGAAATTTTGTAAGGTACTGGAAAATTCTGAAACAAATGGATAATTCATTTCTTGCTCCTTCATTACCCTTTGCATTCCTTACATACTCCTGACTTTCACTGAACATCTGCTTTTTCCAATTTTAGCCTATAAAACTTATTACTGGCAGTGCTGCTGCATGAGTTACGTCTACAGCGTCGCATAAATAATTAAGAAAAACTACAATGAAGGCATCTACTGTGTTTTATGGTGAGAAAAACGGGTAAAAACGGTAAAAACGTTAATGGTAAAACCATTTAACAAATTCCATCCATGGAGAGGCCTTCTATGTCGAAAAAAAAAACAAGATAATTGATTTAAAATGTAAGACACTACGAATAAAAGCGATGAAAATAGAGACTATGGACTCTAAAGGTCCTTTCGAATCAAATTTTCTCGGGAAAATCAACACGCACTACTAAATGCACTATACTGACCTAGTTTCTCAATCCCTTGAGTTTCTGACATTAGACTAGTAACCAATAATCAGTAATCCGAAGGTGCTAGATTTGAAGGCGCCTTCGCTGCAGGAATCGCGCGGTTTCCCGCAATCTCACCTTTTTTGAATAGGCACAACGGTCCTTTATATATAGAATCTGAACTGTAGTGTTCCAATGAAAACAATATTTACAAAGAAGTTCTCATAGGCTAAACTTTCGTATTCTTAACTTTTGTGTTCTGCTAAAAATAAAAGACCAGCGATCGTGCAAAAAACCCAAGAGCGTTTTTTAGCGCTGCCAACACAAATCTCATCATGTTTTTCCCGTCTCATCTTACATCCGCTCTCCCATTTAAGCATCCCATTAAGCGATAAACACCGATGTTCTCACCGCACTTCTTCGGCTCTGCTAGCAGCCAGCCCCATCCCGCAGTTCTTCTCCGTCCCATGAGCTACTTATCGCCACCATTATCCGCAGACAGTATCGAAAGAAACGCATATATACTAGCCAGATCGTATGGCCGTGCGACTCATTCGAATGTGCCTTCCGACCTTGTCGCTAGTTTTCGCTTGATTTTGGACGCAATAATTGTTAATTATGGTCACAGATGTTCTTAGTAGCCCATCCTATTGTTGGTGGCCGCATGTCGACCAATTCCGGGCTCGGGATGAGGGTTAGGGGCATTAATAAGCGGGTGGTTAAAATTGCTAACAGGGTAAAAAAAGAAGATGAAAAACCAAGATCTTCACGCTAAGAATATTTTATATAGGTTCCATGGAGGAATATATTAGGTCGTTCCGAAAGTAATGTCGCTTTTTTCAAATGAACGTCACATTTCGTGAAACCAAGATTTTCAAGAACTCTTGGGATCAGTCGATGCAGAATTTCGTCCTCTTTCTAGTGGTTGTAATCTCATTGCATAATATTCAATGAGCTCTCAAAAAATTACTAAAACCTGCGACTTATACTTTTTGTCATGGTCAAGTTCGGCTATTTTTTTATAATTTTGTACTGATTCCCCGAAGATGAACAAATAACAGATAAATAGAGCAAACCCTATAGGACACAAAACAATTTTTTTCTTTTCCTTAGTTTGCTTCTTGGAGTTTGTAGAACCAATTTTTCAGTGCTATCAAATTGCATATTGAGTCAAGGCAAACCTCACAGAACAACAACCGGCAAGCAACTCGAGTGTCATTAGACGCAGCTTTTTCTCCTCTTTCTAGCAGTTGTTTTTGGTTTCCGATTCACCAAGTTTTCCGGGATGAAATCATCATAATTCAGGTTTTCCAGGGCGCCGCAGGCTGTACCCAAAATTTCCGAAAGTTGCTAATCTGAAGCGGTAAATGCTCATATGTTTTGAGAAATTAGTGTTAAACCATAATCCACCTTTGTAAGTTTCAGAATCCGAAAATTTATTGGTGCTTGATGCATATGTGTTTGAGACAAGCCTGCAAAAATTCGGTGACTTCATTGAAAAATCTCTACAAAAATAATGACGAGATACGGAGAGCAGAAAAAAATAGTACCGTTTCCTATAGGGTTTGCTCTATCCATTCATTACTTGGACTCCTTCCGGGAGTTATTACAAAAAATTAGAAAATTGTGAAACTTGACCTTCCCAAAAAGCATGGGTTGGAGATTTTAGTAATTTTTCAAAAGCTCATTGAGTATTCTGCAGTGGAATTAAGCCATTAGGAAGAGGATGAAATGCTGCATAGAATGCTACCAAGATCTCCTAGAAAACTTGCTTCCACGAAATGTAGCGTTCAATTGAAAAAAGCGACATTACTTTCGGAACGACCTAATAGAAAGCAAATAATTTTGATTACAATGGAACGAATTATCAGAATTTGTAAGAATTTTATTAAAATGGCGAGATAAATGATTTTTGAGAGTTTAGGGCACTAGACTGATTATTTTATTGGCTCGTTGTAACATAAAAATTTGGGAAAATAACTAATCAGAATTCCGAAATTCTTAGAGGACCACATTTTTAGTATCTCAAATCAATCAATTCAATCAATTTTGTAAAAGAATATGTATTATATGAGTTATGGCTGTTCATAAATGACGTTTCAAGAACTTTCTTAAAATAGGGGGAGGGGGGGGGGACGCCACATAAACTAAAAAAAAATATACAGCACTGGCAGTGCCGCTT